TTTGACCTTTGACACTGGTTGGTGGAATGATAGCTAGGGTTCAGTGAATCATCTTGTTATCCTGGGGGCAAGGCTATGGTAGAGCAAAAATATGAAAGAAATCTGGATTCCTGATGCTTTCTTGGAGCTGCGAGATGGTTCTGGATTGCCAGAGGCCTCACAGTATCCCTGGCCTAATTTTTCCTTGCCCTATAGCTTAACAATAGATTGTCTCTGGTGGTTTGATCCAGAGCTTGGAAAGTCCCCTGCCATAGAAAGCTGCCCTGAAACTTACGACTAATGCCCTTATGCTTACTGATCACAATCCTTCTGGTCTAGCATTCTTTCTAGACTACTCACATCTTTGTTCCTGGGTTGCTAATGCCACCAGACAACCACATTGCCAGAAGAACAGCTCTGTGAAACACAATAGACCCCCTGGAACCATCATGTAGCCCCTGGAATAACGCCCAGATCTTCCTTTAAATACCCTAAGCCAAACTGAGAAGGTAAGGCAGTTTTTGAAGGTGTTAACCTGCTGCCTTCTCAGATCACTGGTGCTCTGACAATAAACGCTTATTCTAAATATCCCAACTCCTGTGACGGTCTATTGGCTGAGCGACGCAGGCAGCACGAGTCCCAGTCTCGGTTGCTCTCCGGTTTCAAGATCAAACTCTAAACTGTGTTTAAGCTGTTGGAGTTGACTCTCTACTATTAGCAGTGAGTGGCACACAATTCTTAACCAATCTAGGCATTCAGTCAGCTGGGTCCCCAGCTTGTAGGAAGACTCAGCCTCTGGCCAGGTGTTGCACTAAGTGCTGCAGCTATAGTCGTGAACAGGACAGACGAGAATGGAACTTTATACTGGAGGGGGAAAGGCAGACAAAACAAGCAGGCAAACAAAGCAACCACAGAATTCTAGATAAAGTACTAATGACAATGTTAATAGTGATAAGAAAATAAAGTACTTTCGCAGATAAAACAGCAGGGATGTGTTTGCCATTTTAGTATAGAATGGTCCATAAAGGTATCTCTGAGCAGGGATAGATGACGACATGCATCCAGGCATGCAAAGAGCTGGGAGAACAGCATGTATAAGGCAGGAGGTGGGAACTGGCCTAGAGTGTTCAAGAAAACCTGTTTGACTGACCTATAATTAAAAAAAAGAGTTGAGTGGTGGATGGTGGGCCGTCAGAGGTGGGTGAAGTCTGTAGGACTAGGACAAAGATTTTATTCGAAGCGTAACAGGACAGCCATTGGAGCATCTTAAACTCCATGTGTTTTGTCTCTATTGTTTTGCTTGTCCCAGTTTGCATATTTACACTGCATGCCTGGACAGTGAGGGATTTGAGTTTGTGACTCTGCACCATGTACAATTCTCCTAGTTGTACAGAATAAGAAACTGAGGTTCAAGAAGTAAGCTATTTGTCCAAAATAAAAGATTCAAACTAGGCTTTTTTCACTTGTTGTCCAGTGCTCTTCACTTCCCCATCATTCACCTTCCTTAGCACCCCACTTCACAGCAGTAATCTTTTCTCCCTTGTTAGATATTATGCACTTACCCAGGTTAATAGGAAAAGGAACCATGTGGGCTCTGAAACTTTTGATGTACACTATTTTACCTTAATTAGCATCCAGAAGCTATTTTATGTTTTCACTTTGCCTCTTTTCCAAAGAAATGGACAGGCTCTGTGCCTGTCATTCTAACAACTAGATAACGTTTCACTCTGTAGCTACACCACTGTCTGCAAACCCATTTGTGACTGTTTCTCTATTCCTGGCACTTAAATTATTTCCATTTTTTTTTCCCCAGAACAGTCAATAGCACTGCTAGAAGCATTTATTATTTAATACACATTTTCCTTTCCATGTAGGTTTTGGCTGATATTTTCAGAGAGATTAAAGGTTAAAGAAACTAATTTTTTAAGCTTCTGTTATAGACTACCACAATATGCCTGACAAAGGCCCAGCGTGTGGTGAGCAACCTTTATGTCCCTTTACAAACTAATCTTGGGCTGCCTTGTTTCCTTATTTGTAAATTTCCTAGTTTTCTCATGAGTAAATTTCCTGATTTGTTTCATTTGTAACACGGTTAAGGGCAGATTAAATGGGACAATTCTGTTAAACACTTATACCCGGGCCTAGCATGAGGTAGGGTTTAGGAAGCGGTAAATACAATCTTAATTTCAAAATGGTCAAATGGCCCACGGTAGAAGAACCACGGGGATCACGTGCTTCCATTCTGGCTGGCAAGTGAAAACTGGCAGAGACCTCTTCCGCCCTGCAGCCCCCGCGAGAGAGAAGCATTGCGGGAACTGTGCCTCCCAAGCCCTGGGCATCCGGCAAGTGGAGACACTCACCCGCTGCCAGGGACATCCCAGGAAAGGCGCGGCAGGACGCGGACCTGCGCCTCGGGAAAGGAAACTCTGGACGTCTGCGCCAGGTTCCGGCTGCAGGGGACCGCGCACTCGTAGCACCACGCAGGCGCCACGCTACAGCTGCCGGCGCCGCATGGGCCACAGGGATGCCAGGGATGTGAGGTGAGTTGCCCAGGGCACTGGCCCCTGGGCCGCTTGGCCGCAAGGCACGGAGCTCCTCCCCCGGCTGCCCCTGTGACTCCGCCCCTAACCCCCTCCAAGGCGACACTCCGCTCCTTCCTCAGACACGCCCTCTAGCCCCGCTCCTGGCCCCGCCCCCGCCCTGTGCTCCTCCGGCCCAGTCTCACTCACTGGGCCCCAACCGGGTCCCGCCTTGGTCCTTCCTACCCTACCCACGTGTGGAGAGCTGGGCTCAAGGAGCGTTTCCGCCTGCTGAGTGCAGCGAGGCGGAGACCGTGGGATGCGGACTCCAGAGATCGAGCCTCGGCGGGTGGGTGGGTCGTGGAGGGGCGGTACCTGTCGAGCGTGGCCCGGGGCGCAGACGCGAGGGAGGAACGCCTCGGGAGTGGAGGGCTATCCGGCGGCCTCGGAACCGTCCGCCTCGCGGCGGTGCTCGTCGA